TGAACTCCAATGCCCCTTTGAGGAATTGGGTTTTATAGCTTGTCCTTTTGAAAAATATCTTCGCCTGAATTTTACAAGATTTGTCCTTAGCGATCCGAGTTAACATCCTACATATTTAACAACACGCGTTTTTCCTTTTGCTTTATTCGTCTCTCTTTTTTGTCTTCTCTCTAACAAACAATTATTTCAATTCAATGTAATTCTCTGTGTTGTTAAAAACTGAAGGACTAAAAAGATCATAACTTACCGCTTCCTTAACATGTCATTCTGATTAAGGCATAGCCTTTTATTTACTCTTTAGTAGACAGAGTTAATTTTCCTTCTGATGAATGGCAAAGGCAGATGTTGTTTTTCTCACATTAGTATCAAGTCGTTGCATCATTTAGACCCTACTTCTCCCACCCCTCTCTTGCGTAAGAGTATTTCTTTTCCGCTCGGCTGCAGTGAGTTGATTTTGAGCTTTCTTTTATTCAATTAAAGTTCCTGCGGGAATAAATCCTGAAAATGCGCAACTAATATAATAGTTTCTGGAGCAACTGACTTTTGTTTCAATTATTTTTCCTTTATGTGACACATAGAAATCCTACCACTTCCATCATAAATATAGAAGAGAATTAAACACAGACATTGTCAAGAAACAAACGGCCGAGGAACCAATGTAATTGCTTGAAGAACAATCGAAAAACCCTTGTTTCAGCGTTTTAAACTATAGTGCTCGACTGAAAGTCTGTTGAAATCACCATGAAAAACAATGACTCCTCAACTGACGTTCACGTCTTGGAAACGTCCGAGCTTTACAAGTTCCTCGTGATAAGAAGAGTTGATGTGCTCCTTGTCCGAATAGAGCGCATGCGTATCTATAACCGTCTGCCAATTGTACTGAGATAAATATAGAGTGTTGTGCTCACCTCCACTCCTGGTGGAGTCTTAGACTTTCTAGTCAGTGTTCAGTTGCGACCTTGTGCTGTAAAACTGCACTGCTATAATTTATATCAGAATATATGGAATATCGCTTCTAAAGCGAATATGTGCATTATAAAAATATTTCATCTGAATTTACTCGCTGGTTATTTTTATTCCGTCTTAACCTTCTTAATTTCAGCCGTCAGTTTTGCTTTCTTTAAATAAACATCTAAGTTACCCATCAGCCTCATTCTCAAGACGAGTTTGCCTTCAAATGTTTTCCCGACTTGACCCAGATTTCGCCAAAGAACTTTTCAAACTAACACAGCGTTTCTCCTGTGTATGTGATATGGCTCCCTGAAGATATTTTTTTCAATCACCTTTGGTTCTATGATATATTGCTAAATTTCAGCAAAGGCGAAACTTATATCGCCGATTCATTGCTCTATGTAGAACAACATGGAAGCTTATTGTTCCTCTTTTTAGCTATCTGACTCTCCGTAGCAGTCTTTCCTACATTAACCGTTCCTTTTTTTCCATTCTGAACAAAATCTAACTGATCCGGTGGAAGAGGGAGGACAGTTCTTGAAGACGTTCTCTCTTTTTCTTTCTTCTTTACCCCGTCGTATACATGCTTTACAAGCTCCTCGAACGCTTCATTAACGTTTGTCGAATCTAGTGCGGAGGTTTCCATGAAGAGCATGTCTTGATCGATTGCATATTGGTGGCCTCGTTTCGTTTCTACCATTCGTAGATGTTTCAGGTCGGATTTGTTGCCGATTATGATGACTGACAAGTCTGGCTCGGCGTGTTCTTTCAATTCTGTGATCCATTTGTCGAGGTTCTGGAATGACGTTACCTTGGCGATATCATAAACCAGAATAGCGCCCATGGCTCCGCGGTAGTAAGCACTTGTAATGGCTCGGTATCGCTCTTGGCCTGAAACGAGAAAAAGTCGTGGTTAAGCAGCATTTTGAACTGAAGCAATTTTTAATTGAGTGTCGAATATTATCCAGGATTGCATTGCATTTGCTTTGCTTCGTACTGTGATTGGTCAAAACAACTCGCGTCAACATTTAAACCAACCACGCGCAAGATTAAAACGCAATTTGGTCCGTAGCGCTTGAAGAAGTTTTCGCACGTTTACTTTGAAATCTAATGGCTTCATTCTGCGTTAACATGTTTATGATAAAAAATGAATCACTTTCCAAAAGAAATTTAGAATAGGCAGATTTCACTGGGAAAAATCTGACAGCAAATTTACAACACCTGAAAATGGTAACATTTTGATTCCCGAAAATGCCTTTGCTTTAATTAGATTTTATAGGCTTTCTATTTTGCAGCTACT